AAATCACGGATCTTTTACTTTTTATAAAGATTATCGTGCTGGAACTCAGGCGGGTGTGAAAATATATGAATGTTTTTGTCAGTGTGAGTGGAAATTGAGAGACAGAGTGTTTGTGAATGAGTGGTTGATCATAAACGGAGGTGACGTAACCTGTGTTTATGATCAACCACTCATTCGCCTACCCACCCATTCGTAATCTCTTTGTCTCTCAATTTCCACTCACACAAACAGACATACACACTCACGAAAATCAATTATCACAAATATTCATATGATCTACACTTTATTGATATAACAAAATTGGCTAGACGCATTGCAAATGAACGTGTTACCGGTATGGAAAGCGTTTTGAAAACGAGTTCTTACAGGAAAGTGTGCAATGCACAATGTAACGCTTCAAACACGTTTACTCAACGGAACAATCGATGGATCAAATCCCAATAGATGTTCTCCATGTGGTTATCGATATGACATAGGTTGACAATCGCTGGGAGTGACACCACTATCCACTTGAAAAATTTGACCGACCATGGGACAAAATGCGAATTCCACAAAATCCAGGTGCATGTAACATACCCCCTTGATGGAGGGATCAGACTGCACAGGTACCGATGATAGATTAGAACCTAAAAGGGATCAAAAACTGCGCAGAGTTGCGCAACACGTCTCCCACCGAATAACTAACCATCTCAATCTGAAAATTAGTGCTTATTCTTCAGCGACTGTTATACATATTGAAGTTTGAGACTAAATTAAAAACGACCTTGCACATATATATGTACCGGCTTTCTGATCGAATGTCCGCAAATGATGTGAACACATTAGCCAAGCAGTGAGATGGCAGTTGATTTTGATAACAAACCGATCTACAAGGGAAAAACTGAAACTCATGCCTGAATCATAAAGTCACAGACTATATATCTTACGGTCCAATTGTCGACCAAAACAAAGGAGTTTCGGCATGATTGACTGCTGGATAATCAAGGGCTGGGTTACAAAACACACCGAATACCTGAAATTGTGACAACCCAGGCCCATAGATAGATACCAACCCACGGCTTTTTCCAAAGCAGCTCCTTGTGGTGCGTGATGCCCATGTTGTAGTCTTTCGCTAAATTGCATTTAGACTGAGTCGCAGTTGCCTGTCCATGGCGGTCATACATTTTAATACTCTCTTCACTGACTTACTTGTCCGAATACCCTAATTCATTGAAATATTTGAGTTACCTATTCTACAATGTTAAATAAAACCCTCGGGTATACAAACCACAATCGATGGATTGTCATGTTTTAGGGGAACATGACCGACAATCACATTGGTAGACTGGAGGTAAAGCTAGCTGCACAACGCGGAAACAAAACGATGTGAAATAGGGCGATCTCCGACATGTACTTCTCCGGTAAGGAGTACTACTTAAGTAATCTACTTACATTTTTCCACATTGTCCCCTAAACGCGCAGTTTAGTGAACGGCTTCACGGAATAGTGACCTTTGATCTTAACAATGACAGATACCGGGAGAGGACGAATTCAGTTACGGACTAAGTACACATTAGTTCCTCCCCACACACATACACACCAACCCNCCCCGCCACAGGAGTATATATTCATATTTTCACACACGTCTGAATCCAGACTGTGTGCAAACACATGATGGTGCAATAATCTTTATGAAAACAAAGACGTTCTATGATCTGCATGTGGTAAAGCATTTTTATCAAACGAGAATATCGTACGTTTACAAGTTATGAAAGTGTGCGGACCTTATGTTCCGTCGAGGACGATTGTTGGCAATGGTTGTATTATTATTATTATTATTATTATTATTATTATTATTATTATTATTATTATTATTATTATTGTATTTCACACTTGTCCGAGGCCAGACTGTGTGCAAAACAAATCATGGTATAATAATCTTTATGAAAAAAGAAAAGCGTTCCGTGATTTGTGTGTGGGCGGGATATTGTCAGGTTGCCCAGGCCAAGATAGATGAATTTCCTCGAGGAATCTACAACCGGAGCCTTTGGATAGCCAAAACCTTACCCGCCAAGCAGCAGGACGGTGTGAAAACCGCAATCCATTGGGGGCCGGTGTCCAGTCCATCGAATCATACGCCTTTTGGACGGTGTCACATGGCCAAGGTGACCAAAACACCTCGATGCCCAATCGAGCCGGTGACCACAGCCGCCACAACTGGGAAGTTGTGTGTGGTTCGTACGCCTCCTAATGGTTTGTTTGGAATCAGGATTATGGCCAGCTCCCCCAGGTGAACTACCAGTGGTTCCACTAAACCGGTTATAGCACCGGGCCACAAGAGACATATGGTCTGTGCTCATGCCAACCCCACAGAATTAGTTAGCTCTTGTGAATGATATGAGGAAGAATACGTGAAAAGTGGAGGAACAATCGGGTCACCAGCCACGACTGTTGTGAAGTGGCCACTTCACAAGCACTGATGATGTCACCTCGGCTGGTGATGAAACGTTTGCAAACAAATTGCCAAGCTCGGCGAACAGGCGAAATAGAAGATAAACTTTCTGCTCGATGTTTTGATGGGGTCACAACGGATCAGATTTATGAAAACCACACGACGGCAATGATTATCCGGATTATAGTTTCCATAAAAATGGTAATGACGCAGTGGTGTTTGAACGGTATGGTGAAAAGCATCAGTAAAATTCATGCATTTTTCTCTTCTTCAACATATCATAACTGCCTGTTTTGTCTGTAGATAAATAAACCCCGCTGTATCCACCTAAACAGCCCGAACACCGCAATTCTATTCAACCAAATTTTGAGAGACGATGACAAACGGAGTGGTTCAGACACAAGGACGGAACTATAGTCGCACTATAGATCAGCTTTTGCGCAACAGAACGATCTATATCTCTTTTCACAATGTTATGACCATTGTGCCCGTGTGGCTCATCGGACCGATGCGATTCTTGCGAGACTATTCACAACCGTCGACACCGCTTACCATATTTCGTAACTTAAGTAAAGAAAAAAAGCATATGGCGTCATACTCTCGCCAGATCAAAATCTTTGGAAAACGCAAGCTGACACGAACCACCAAGATCACAGGTCGATCAGACTGTCTCGGTGCCAGAGAATGAGCAAGTTACTGATCATGCACACACATGCGCACGCATGNGCATGCACACAAGGACCCAACCGGTGTGCCGCTTCACACACGCGGTCAATACCCCGAAAGCAGTGACAGAAACACATTATATCACAGTACAGGTGCGAGGGATAGAACGATTCTCGTCAATTTGAGGGATGCGTGTTTTCAAAACGTACACGCAACCCTTGTACCTGGAGTGTAAGGTGGATACGGATTGCAAATTGGGTGCCATTCATCCGATTAATCACGCATATACGCACAATCAAATGTGCGCTTAGATGCGTGCAGGCAAACCGTAAAATGATGAAATATTAGACTGGGTTGTGAAATGAATGAATGACATGACTGTCGTTGTTGTTGTTATCTTTGCCGTGGGCTAGTTGGTTGTTCATGTTTATCACAAAGGATGCTGGCAATAGAACAGAACAGAAGTGACAGTACCAATGAATGGCTATGGTGTGTGTAACAATAAAACCCGAATGACTGTCAATTCAAATTAAGATCCTCTCAACAACAAGTGCAGAGTGATTCAGTCAATTAGTTTTATTGTACCGACTTCTTCCTATCCCGTGTTTGGTCGAGGCATTAAACACCAGTAACCTCCGGTTCCGGTTGAAGCTAGCGACAGTTCATATCGGGAACTGTGTTCAGTTCAGTTCGATTTAAACAACCATTAAGAATGCATTTCCGTGCGACGCTTTTGGTTGCTGTTATTTTGGCTACCCATTTGGAATGGACAATAGGAGGAAAACTGTGCGGTGCACATCACAAAAGGAGCGAGGTGACTTGACACTCAACGAAGTCAACAACCTCAAGAGCGGGTGCTAAAAAAATAGTTGACGAGTTAAAACTTTCCCACACACCATGCGTCTACCGGATCCATAGCGGAATGAACGAAGACGGAATCTGTTGGAGGATATGGCTGGTTGAAGCTTGAAGTGTCGACTACGGACAGTCGTAACAAGCCACGGGCCACGTGACACGGAAACAACCAAATTACTACTGGTTAAGCCAGAGGATTTGTGGTTGTGGCAGACGTGTATTGGAGTACCGTAGCATAGGAAACATACCGATGGGCTCTAACAAAAATTGGATACGAAGGCAACGAGGACCAGGGAGTGTGTCATAACACGCAAACTGATCGAAAGCGAAAAGTGAAAGTGCTCATGCGGAAAGAGGTAGTAGTTACCAATCGTGTAAAACACCTTTTGCAGTGCGTTGGTACTGATATAAACATGCGAACATATAATTAGATTACAGAGGAAGAGTAAGGTCTGGCAAATGTCTAGTATTATCCGGATTTCATCGTACAACCGACCACACCACAAGCTACTGTGCTAAACACAATAGCTCAAAGCACTGCTTTCCGCAAGTTCTCTGCTAAATTCCATGCTTAATAAATAAAAAAGGCATCCCTAACACTAACAACGAATTGAAAACAAGCAAATGGTCCATCAATTATGCAATACGTGAAATTGGGTATTCTGAATCAAAATACGAGTTCAGTTTCATCTGGCTCGGTGAATACTTTGACGAAGCAAAACGAGCTAAAATTATGTGGGTTGTAACACCGGTCCGGCCCCTTTGAGGTTGGATGACAATCCTCAGCACTTGTCAATATTAGGATCGAGTTGGACGATGATAGATCTGGATTTTTCGAACGAGTAAAAATTGTTTCACACTTTAGTCATTTGGCACCGTTTCCGGATGACTCACCGGGCGCATATGATAACTGAAAAACGCATACAATTACCCCACAAGAACAGATAAGTCCCCGGTTCAATGATTGGATCTAACCATTTATCTTACTGTATCGTAATAGAATCGGTGAGGCAGTAAACACGACACAGACACACCTGGATTGACTTACCAAGAAAAGCGCACAGCTGTGCCATGAGTGTTTCGTGCAACTCGATGGATCCGCGTGTTTCCCATGGATGTCGTCGTTTGGAGGTGGTTGAGGTGTTGGCAGTTGTTTTAGACTCGGATGACTGTTCTCCGTTTGTTTCCTTCACTGGAATGGACACAATCCACCGCAGAGATGGGTCGGTAACCGGGGCAACCGGTTCCGCGTCCTCGCCGGTCCCACTTGACCGTTTAGCATTTGGATCACGACTGATTATTTCCAATATACACCCAGTCGTTTCACACACAATCCTCACAGGGCTGAGGCGACTTAGCTGAAATTGTTTACGTTGTGTTATACGTGTTGGACTGGTTTTGGGCAAAGAGGCTTCTTCCGAGTTAGCCTCATCTGCTGGGGACTTGGCATCGCCGGATGCCCGTGCAGGACTGGTAGCGGGTGCCTCGTCTGGTGAACTGGGTGGTTCGTGTGGTGATTCTAGTCCGGTTGGCTGATCTGTGGGACCAGAATCGTCAGACACTACGCATGTGAGCAAATGTTTCAACAGGGTATCACAAATGGACACAGGTAACCCAATTGATTGATTTCCAGAACCGGAATCACGAACTGTGACCCATGGTTGGGGCATAGACTTGCCAGCAGCGGCATTTGTGTTCCCATTCACAGCCGGACCTTCGCGGACCTCAAGTATGTATGCCTCGTAACGAGGATCTGAGCGCCGATTACGAACGAACTGACGCAGCAGGGGTCGATTGAGGTCGTTCATCGGGACACGTGAGGGTAATGGTCTTCTTCCCGGATTGCGTGAGTTTCGGGCCACCGGTGGTCGAACGAGCATGATAAACCTCTCGAATCACGAGCGGTCAAAAAAGCCGCAATAAAAAGACACGATTCGATTACCCACAAGTATGGCGTTTATTCACGCTTTGGTCTATTCAAAAAAACTATGGGGCATAATTAAATTGGGCAAATATTTGGCGGAAAATTACGAGCTTACCGTACGGGGGATAATAAACTGATTGTACAGCAGAGAAGAAATGAAGTAGTCTGTTTTATCTTCACACAAGTGTTTTAATAAGCCACGGTAAATGTACACGAAACAGTTGCAAGTTCGCAACCGCCTAACCGCTATGTGCAGGTGTAATGATGCGATTTGAACAATTGATCGCACGCGATTCAAAAGCCTCGCGTCGGCACAGTCCAACGGATCGATGTGACGATGTCGATTATCGACTCAGAGCGTGCCATAGTCATGGCCCATCTGCAAAGCAGGCTGTCAAGCCTGTACGCGTGCAGACAGACAGACGAGCCGCGCTTTGTGTAGGACTGACATACCAAGGCCCAATACAAACGTATGCAAGCGTACACGCACTCACGCACACACACACACACACACACACACACACTATGGCACGCACGTACATGCCTCCGCGAGACCGAAGGTCTGCAAACTGCTTACATGATCCTACAGTTCACACTACTGGTCGATTGCAACACCCTACCGAAGGTTAGTTAGTTGGCCTTGAAGGCTTTTGGCAAAACGCGTGGGTGGCAGCCTGTGCATGGCTGCCATACTGTTTGCACCATCACGTAAACAACATTTGCAAGCGCACATGTATGCAGGCCTGTGTGCATTCATGCGCAAGATTTCGTTTCTCTTATCCGCGTGGCAGACGAGTGCCTGGTAGACAGCTCGCCCAACCCAACCCCCTCGAGAGAGAGAGAGGGCGTCAGCGTTTCACTTCTGTGACAAGCCGCGGCTGTAGCGCAAATGCCAACAAAAATAAACGGAGGGGAAATTCAGGGCATTTCTTGCTTCTTTTAACCACTGTGACGATTACTTGATGCCACTTGGTGAGAACTGGTTGCGGACAGTTCACTTAGTTTCCATTTCCAACCTACTAATAATTTCAAAGTTCCCTTACACTGGGCTCATGATTGGATGGAGATCATGGTGTAAAAGTCTTCGAAGCTGACGGGACCTTGCAACTATACTTATCCTTAGATGTAGTGGGAGTTCAGAAGTTCGAAAAGATTTTCAATACTGAATGGCTACAATTATGTGGGTTGCGACACTGATCCGTCCCCTTTGCGGTTGTCTGACGACCCTCAGCACTTGTTCGTAGTTTTCTTCGACTTATTACACACACACGGTAGTAAAATCATTGGAACATTAGCTAGGTTCAAAGATGTGTGTTAAATATTGAAGGCAGTTATCTGACCGCAATTATTGCACTCCGCCGCCTACAATTGCTAGAACACAGACGTGACCTGAGGGGATGACGTCGGTGAATAACTGAAACGTAGCTAGACGCGAGATTAGTGAATGGTATTCCATAGAAGTTCATAGTCCAAAACCAAATAACCAGATAAGAGACAAAAGTATAAAACATGGTCACGGTGACCATAGTGACCAAAGTCAACCGTTTCCGTTTATTTGTATCTCTATTCCCTGACATATAAACTTGTTCCTTTTTATTAACGCAACATAAAACGGTGTTGATGGTAGTGTAGTAATTCCTCTTTATTCATTATGTTATAACACCTAGAAACGTTCTCCTCAGATATACCGGCGTTTACCTCGCATATCATTCATTATCACTGCTCCGAATAATCAATTAGCACTTCGTTATATTCATAAAGCTTTACCAATTTATTGTAGCTTCTATCTCATTGTATAAAACGTGGTATCTACCCAGTGTTATGTCCCCTTGGATCTATTTTATTCATCTAAGATGCCACCTCTCTCGGACAAAGAGACTGGACCAACCAAAACTACTCGAAATGTACTGTGCTGATAAAATCACTAAACCAAATGAATGAGACCATCTGATGAAAATGTGTACAAAGGGAAGATTCTGTAATATATTAATTAGGATCCTGGAGAATGAAAAGGAAGGTCATGTTTTTCGAAGCATTATAGATACGGTTGTAGATTTGCATTGAACTGATCTTTCCGGAGAAGTGGTTCGCACGCAAGAATTCAACCAAACGAGCTCGAACTCTCGTAATCTATTGCCTTCGAAAGCTTCAGTATGATCGGGGGCGGGTGGGTGTCCAGGTTTGCGGCTGGTCACCCTTCCCTTGTACCTCGCGAAATACTTTCATACACCCAAGCGTCTCGAATAGCCTCTGTTGAGGAAACCCTACTCACTGCCTTCTCGTGAAGTGAAGGTGTTTACCCACCAAAGGGAGAGAATGAAAAACCGACATCCGGGGCTAAAACCGGGTCGGTGGATCACTGGTAGTCCACGTAGGGGAGTTGGCCAAAAACCCTGATTCCAAACAAACCGTGAGGAGGCGTACGAACCACATACACAACTTCCTGGTTGTGGCTGTGGTCACCGACTCGATTGGGCATCGAGATGTATTGGGCACCTTGGACGTCTGACTCCGTCCGAAAGGCAAATGATCCGATAAACTGGACAACGCCCCACCGCTGCCTTGAGGATCAGGCTTTGGGTATCCAAAAGCTCCGGTTGTAGATTCCTCAAGGATATTCACCTATCTTGGCCTGGGTAACCTGGCAGTATTCGGCAAATGCAAATCTCGGAACGCTTTTCTTTTTTCATAAAGATTATTGTATCATGATTTGTTTGGCACGGAGTCTGAATTCAGACGTGTATGATTATATATATATATACTCTATAATTTTAGATGGAAACTAACTTGGAAAGGTAATCAGATCATAAGTATGGGTTCAGACCTGGACCAATAAACAACTTCCGAATAAAAGGTCTGCTGAAGTCGGTCGAAATTCAAAATAAAATAACAATATCAAACGTTTACACAATTAAAGTTTCTACAGTTCAGCCTAATAAATACTCATTGCACTAAATTTGTTAGATTAGAAAACTTCAACAATCACTTGATTAGACCACAGGATTAAATCCCTAATGGCCTATTATTCAAACGCATGGACTCGATTTACCCATTCGTTTGCTAAATAAGAACGTCCAAACTAGCGTTTTGAACCGCGAATCAAGACCCAAAAATCGGTTTTGTGCCACAAAACAAAAAAGCACCGAAGTTGAATAAGTTTTCAGTATTCCTAAGACTGGGAATTTCAGTTTGGTTCTTGAAATTTGCCACAACTAACATTCAGTTTTTATGGTCTGTAGTCGCCTGGAACTGTGTATTACTGGAATATTTACAGCGATAATCCCACTTAGGGTCCCTGTGATATAACGCTGTTGAGTTCAGCAGATAGATCACTTGATTGCCCAGACCTCACGATAACTGAATGTACGCACCATCACATTCAAATCCGACTGGTCTGGTTATATCGATCCGGGCTAGTTACGTTGGGTCACGTGAGCCAATGATGGGTCGGTCCTATTCAAACTCACTTCACTTGTGGTCTGTAAAATTCCCCAGGTGGGAAAGATATTGCTGGCCTTACACAATGCATACCCTTGCAGAGCAAACTGAATAAGATTTATTTCGCGGTGGATTAGTGTAATATTTATTGGAAATAAATGAGCTTGTTTTTTGTTAGTTTTTCTGAATTGACAAACTTAATTTATACGTGAATTGAGACTTAATACTTGTAGCTAGCCAATCACAATCACCTATTCATCACTATTTTCAATTCGCAACGGAAGAGATTACACTAAACAGTCTTTTTTAGACCTAGCATTTTTTAATGCTCATACTGCGATACAGCTTTCATCGTCCCTTGTTACGCATACACACTAGGAGTAGTAGTCATTTTGGAAAAATGAGCTCGTTTTTGGTGCCTTCAAAAGCACACGAAAAATACTCATCAATACTATATGTGAAGTGTAATGTGACTTAGACCCAGAAAAGTGAGCATGATTCCATTTTGTCTGGTGAATGTTTGCGTAGCTATGTGTTTTGGGTGGGAAAAACACTGAATCATCCTACGAAGGCGTTTGATCTGATCTGAGTTACTATCTGACAGTAAAATCAGAGGTTTGAACTCGAAGTAGTTATTTTTTGTACTGTAAACAAGTCTTTAATGTTTTATGTCGTGTTGTTTCTTATATATTTGAAACAGGACTGTCAACTAATAAGAACAAGCAGTCAAAGTAATCACAGATTGGAGGGAAAGGTGTGTATGTCTTCACATGAATCTGGAATTATCAACTGGCTTTCACCAACCTGCTTCGCCAGTGTTTCGGCCTCCCATCTGATCTTGCGAACATCGTCAGTCGAAATCTGCGCTATTTAAACGGAGGGTAATAACCAATGATCCAGCATGGATAAACTATTGTTTCTTTTACACCGCTATATTTCTTCCATCACTGGCCTACTTTGTAATCTAACTAATGATGGTTTTACTTAAATATGTTCGTCACCTGGACTTTTTCAAATAACCAGACCAAAGGCCAACCAGTACAAATGTGGATGAATGCCATGAACAGCGTATCTAGTACCACTGACCTCACCCGATTCCCAATTGTTTCAGTTTCAGTTTTTACAACTTTAAACCATGCATTTTCATACGCCGAGATTCGGTTACTGGCTGCCCGATCGGATAAAGGAGCAGAATGGGCATTGCAATGCTGGGAGCAGAGTCAAAGAGAAGGTAGAGAATTCATATGGACTGGGTTTGCAGGAATGATGAGTAGATGCACGAACACCACCGTTTGCAACCCGCAGTGACTCTAATCACCATGATCTCGAGGTTACCATAACTTTTCCTTGTTCCAACAGATCAGCAGCTTTCAACTGCAGTCACTGTGAATTGCAAAGGTTCTTCCGTCTAACTATATTGTAATACTTGTAGTATTTGTAGTACACACTGAACACGAACTACGAATCACGGATTAGCAACCACGGACGCAACGTACCACACGAGTACCTGCACACAATGTCCCATGTAACCTGAGACTCGACTAAAAGACCACAGTAGTATTAGTTCGTTCATTGAAAGAAATTAGGGGGATTAAATAATAAGTACAAAACAAGCTCATTGATCATCCAGGCCTCTGCCGTTGTTCAGCGTCTGTCTGGACCGCACGATTCCTGATTAGTTCATACAATCAGCCTATGGTATGAAGTCCAGAAGCTGTGACCCGCACGTGCTTTGCTGACTTCACCTGGGAAGATCAATTCATTACAGTTGTCCGAAAACTGTAACGTGTCGCTCTGTGGTATGCGTCATCTCGTAGGCTAGGATCACCACAAGTGGGTGAAGTACAACCCACTGATTGCATGTTTTCGAGTTCTTCGAATACATTACCTTGAGTATCTTGGTGGCCAATCTTTGTGGACGTTCCAAAATATTATAGTCATGGATTGCACGCCTGAATAGCCTACTCGATGCGGGATCCAATGTAGACTGAAAGCAAACGTGAGAATAGCAAAAGTTCAAATTTACCGAATACTTGCTTTAGCAAAACAACTTGTCTTGCAGTTGCAGACAACCTACTTACTTTTGAGCAACTAACTTCTACGGGAGGATAAGTAGGCTTCTTAGATGTCTTCATTGACGGTGGCTCATGCAGGACGATCGGAAGCAAGGTTGACGCAATGTGAAACCCAGTTCTGGTTCCAGTTACGAATTCCATATACGGATGCGAGACCCAGTAATTCCAAATCCGCCTTGATCGTATTACTTCAGATCTTCAGTTGACCACCGAGTTAGCAACGCCTTCAACGAAACGGTGCGGGGACTACAGCCTGTCACGAGAGTTGACTCTCGGGCCTCCGGAGCATATGGCCAAACCACTGAAGGCGCCGGAGTGTATCACTTTAAAAGCTTGTCAATGTTCAAGCAGCGCCGTCAAACCCCACCATTGGAAACCCGATCTCTCCAATTTACTTTCGAGATGCGACGTAAGCACCAATGATCAAATACTTCGAGCTTCTTTTGATCTTGTATTCTTAGCGGCCATGTTTCACAACTATAAGTGAGGATGGAGTGGACAGAAGCCTGATAAACCCGAAGGTTAGTATATAAGCTTATTTCGCATTGATTCGACAGCGGTCTGAGGACTGGCGTGAAGGCTCTTCTACATCTACACCGAGTTGCATTTCATCCTTAGCCTGGCCTTTTGGTCTTATCGTAGAGCCAAGATAATTAAAAACTTGGGTTGCTTCGACAACCTCCCAGTTAATTGCGAGGAGTTGTGTCATGGCAGAAGTTTCGGTTGAAAATGTCTTCGTTTTTGACTTGTTGATCTTTAGCCCAATGACCTCGACAAACAGATTTATATGAACGATAACAGGATGGAGGTTGTCCATGGTGTCTCCAAGTACAACGACCCCATCCGCAAACTCGAGGTCAGCAATCCATTAACCAGGGTCAAGTATGTGTCACATTATCTAATCTACAGCGTACTCGAATAACATCGGCGATAGGGGACAACCTTGACTGACTCCAAAGTTTAGGGTAAATGTAATAGTTGAAATACGCGCAGATCACGGATTATGATCCAAGTATTAGGAATCACGGACACCACGTAAGCAATGAATCACACTAGTCCTATCACGGCAGTATCCTACGTAGACGAAACGTAAGGAAAAGGTGTGGTGATCCAGACTTCCGTAACCGCATTCCAGGCACGACCAAGTACAGTTTCATGTTATCCAATCACCGTTTAAGAAGCTCGGTCAATGGTACACAGGGCGGACATGACATTCCAGTTAGTAAATATGATGCGTCGGTGCAAACGGTTACGTGATTGGACGACGGTCGTTCAACCAATCATATGGTCTATTACATTCTATAAAACATGCTCTAATTCTATCAGTAAACATAAACGTTTGCTGCTGTCAATTCTTCGTGTATTTCATTGGATTCCACAGTTCGGGTTGAAGCCAATCCAGTTCTGAGCATTGCAGTACGTGTTCTCGTATTCCTACATTCAGTACTATTTTGATTACCACAAAATGCTACAGGTGTAGCACTTTCTTTATTGTAGGAAATCAGAGGGATTAAATAATATGCACAAAACAAATTCATTGATCATCCAAGCCTCTGTCAACTGTGTACTGGTATTTCTTGCGTCGTACAGCTTCTGTTTGCGCCGCACGGCTTTTGATTAGTTAGCACAATCGGCCTATGGTTCGTAGTCCAGAAGCTGCAACTCCTAGGCACTTTGCTGACGTCATCTGGGAAGCTTGACTAATCACAGTTTCCCGGAAACTGTACCATTTTGTCTCGTGGTTTGCGTCATTCCGTAAGAGAGCATCACCACAACTCTCCTCTCTCAAAAGAGCCCAGTCGATTTGGCCTGCTCTTCTGCTTCGTCTTCGCAGCGCCAGTGAGATATTCTCATCGGTAGATGTTCCTGGAGTATTGGACTACGACCTTTGGTCTTCTGTAACTGGTAATGGCGTATCACCGGACGAGCTTTCTTGTATCCGTTCTGTAGAATCCTCAATCGAAGGAGGAGTCTTATTTAAATGGATTTTGTCGACGTGACGTCAATGAACTGTCGCGTCTGTTAGGTCTCTGATCTCCATCATAGCTTGGCCACTTTTTTCGGGTATTGATTCCTTTTGATGATCTCAGATCGTTTCTTCGGAAGTACACGACGTCACACGAATCCGTGCATTGTAGTGAGGCCGGCAAACCTCTCGCCTTGAACAGTTTCGCTGGACTCACTTTGGTGGTGGCAATTGCAGCATTTCGATATTGCAACAAGAAGTTGTCCAGGAGTATTTCCAATTCTGAAATTGTCTTCGGACTTGCGGAAGCAATCGTGCTCTTCACTGTTTTCGCGAAAGTTTCCGCTGCACCGTTTGAGCAGAGGTGACGTGATGATGTGCGCAGATGATGGGAGCTAATACTGTGGAACGTCTTCTCGACTGAAGCGCATTCATAGAACCCGCATCACAACCGATGTAGTTGTTGTGTTGGTTAGAAACACTTCCGGTCAAATTGAGTGCGACCCTATGAGTACCAGTGTATGATAATGACCGAGGAAAAGCCCACAGAAGTCGGCATGCACACGGTGCCAAGGGATGCAGCTTTCTGGCCATGGTGTACTATTCTTCGGTTTTGACCTCTGCTTGTGTAAGCACGCTTTGAAGTTCTTAGCGGTTCAACCAATATCTTCATCTAGGCCGGGCCACCAGCACATATGTCGTGTCAAAGACTTCATCTTCTCCACCCCTAGGTGACCTTTGTGCAGATCATCTAGTACTGCTGTGCTTAGTGGAGTTGGAATGATCAGTCGATCGTTTCGACATAGTATTCCATCAGGTTGGACACTGATTTCTTCACCATGAGCATAAAATACTGGGAGCTTCCGCTTCAGGTATGGGAACCATCCGTCTGACACGGCTGTTTTGATCTCTGCATAGTATCATTGATACATCGGCGCAACTCCTCTCGTGATACGGGGGTAGCAGTAGCAATGAAATGACACCTCTTGTCCACCGAGAGGCGGGACCAGCGGGAGAGAAAATCAACTTGAGGAATCATTTTACCTGGACGGTGGACTATGTCGTAGACGTAGACAGCCAGTGCAATGTTCCATCGCTGAATTCTTGTCACTGTCGGTTTGGAAATCGACTTGTGAGGACTGAATATGTATTGCACTGCTTGGCGATCGGTTACGATGGTGAACTGCAGTCCTAATAAGTATTTATGCAGGCCTCGGGCAGCCCAATCTACAGCCACTACTTCTTTCTGCATCTGCAAATATCCTCGTGCTGCCGTGTACAACGGGATGCAGAAAATCGGATATCCATCATGTTCAGGTGGGGAAAAAATCGCAACATCGGACGCGTCCGTAATTAACGTTGGGTGTTTATTCGGAAAAAATGGGGCCGTTCCGCTATCATCTGAATGGCTTTCTTGCAGAATTTGTTCACATTGTGGTCGTCCGCTTCCATTCTGCTGCCGACTGAGCCGCGAATAATATCGGAGGCATCTATGATGGACTTCAGTTGGTGTTTATCTTTCGATGATTCCAGTTCAGTCAAGAAACGAAAGCGACCCGGATCAGGACCGTAGCCTTTCGCATCAATTGTGCAACCCAAGAATTCCAATTCCGGGAACTGAACAAACATTTGGAGGCCCGAATCAACACACTTTTGAGCAAAACGCCCCAGTAATTTGAAAAGCCTGTCGTCGCGCTTGGCCTTCGTTGTACCAAACACAATGACGTCGTCCTGATATGCTAACACACCCTCGAGTCCAAAAATGACTTCGTCAATAGCTGCCTGGAGTATATATATATATATATATATATATATATATATATATATAACACCTATCTTTACAAAT